CAATTATGAAGCAAGATATTCTTTCATTCAGTGAACAGTAACTGTGGTCTTTTGACAACTATTTCACTATTGATTACCTCCATTTAAGGATTTTATCAGTGTACTGTCCACATAATCCTTGTACAGAGTGATCCAAAAGTCACACAACACGTATTAAAATGTATATTGATGGTTGCAATTCAGTACATTTTGATTGGATTAATAAACAGTCGCTATGACTATACAAGAGCACACACATTTTAGGTAATGTTACAACCTGCTTACGCCAGGCATCAGTTGTATTCAAAACAATCAAGGTACAAGGATGTATTTTCACATGTACAAAGAGCGTTCATTGTTGAACAGTACTGGCATCATGTTATTCTTCTTCTTCTTCATCTTCTTGGCACTACAGTTCCAAGCTGAATCCTGGCCTCTTCAATCTTTTGTCTCCATTAATTTCTATCTCTAGCCTTTGGTTTCCAGTTTCTTATTCCTAGAAATTTATTGGCATCCTCCCTCACAGCATCTTCATCCATTTACCGTTGCTGTGGTCATTTCCAAGTTTTCCTTTCCTGGTTCCAAGGCTTAGCTTGAAGTTTCGAAACAAATCTTTTTTTACGGAGTGAGGTTGCCAGCCTCACTCCCAACCCTCAGCAATCCTGAGGGAGTAATGTTTATCTGTCAGAATTTCAGGGATATATTTCCTAATTTTCCTGTGCCAAACAAATTGACATTTTATCTTGTGGTTACAGCCATTCAGTCAATAAACAAAAAAATGTAAAGATGCAAACATACAAGAACTGTAGCTGTCTGTGTGGGTCTGACACTTGGTCTGTCACATTAAAGAAAGAACTCACACTGAGAAGATGACTGTCTTCTGGGGTCCTATAAATTGAGGGCATCTGAGAACTGTGTGCTGGGGAGAGTGTTTGAAGTAACAGGGGGTGAGGGCTGATAAAATTGAATAATGATGACATGTGTAATTTATATTCTTCATCAGATAGGATTAGATGAGATGGGCAGGACATGGAAGAGATTATAAATGTGTCGGACAGAAGAGACCACTTGTGAGATGTAGTAGAGATGGAGAGATGGACTCTTGTTAGTGAATGTTTGGATTCCACAAAAGTGTGGCATTTTTTCCTCAACTTATCAGCTATTAGGTTCTGAGGATAGGCTGTGATCCATGCAGTTCATTATTGGACATATGATTTACACTTGAATTTGGGACTTGTCTAGTATGTCCTTAGGTTTACAAGGATTCAATAATAGTGGCCATCTTATTTCTTTGTTGTTCATAACTGTTAAACAGCTGCAACTTAATTTTAATATAAAATAAGCAAACAAACAAACTATTAACAATATAAAAAGACACTAGTGCCAAACGCGTTTCAACCTCAAGAGGTCATCATCAGTGGTAACATGGAAATAATTAATTTAATCAAAATGGTTTAAAAATGGTTTAGATAACAAATCATGAGGTAGAGTATTTTACAAAACCATAACAAGCAACACTACACTAGAAGCTCGTTTCACAGGAGCTGAACTCTGCGCTTTGCTATTGGTCCGATGGTCCGGTGGCCGTAGCTGGTCTGCGTGGGTGTTAATTAATTTTAGGTGGCACGTAAAAAGCCAGACCTTCAATCTTTCTTCGGTACGCTGTAATGCGTCGGAGTATCGACATCAAAAGTTTCAGATAATACAGGATTGATCATGAGGATGTGAGATTTCACACTGGAAGCCTAAAGAAAGTCATCACATCCTCATGCCCCACATTGGAGTGGTGTAACTTTGTCAATGCAATTAATATACATGTGATTCTTCAGCATCATAGCACCATTTTTAACTTTCTTTTCCAGAATCATATCAAGCCTGACCACCAGGGCAGCCATGACTACAGCAACTACAGTGTCACAGACTGGGATGACAACTGGTACGACTGGATCAAGAATTGGTGCGACTATTTTGAGGACTGGTACAACGAATGGTTTGAGGACTGGGATGATGACTGCGATCAGGACTCGGATGATGACTGCAATGAGGACTCGAATTATGACTGCGATGAGGACTGGGACAATGATGCTGTCAAGAATGATGGGCAAATCAAGGCAATGGATATGCCACCTAAGGATAAACTGTCAGTTTGTACCTGTGGAAAGGCCAAAGTGTTTACTCCCCCAGGTATGTGAACAACCTGTGTGATATTATGTTGCTTGGTTTTAAAAAACATGGTAATAAACTTCTGTGACACTAATTGGATCATGAAAGATAGGCAGTATGATGTTTTATACTGGACCATTTTGTTCCTGGTGAAAAAAGTAGTGCCAATAGTACAGATCATGAGCTAACCGACCTTATACTCTATTTGCTTATGTATTCGTTAGTTTGTAGGTTATATAACGGGCAGTTTTATCAGATCAGACTCTGTAGTATTGATGATGTAGTTTTTATACTATCGCTATACAAATATATTACTGAACATATGGCAGTGCAGACAGCAATGCATAGATAGATAGATAGATAGATAACACTAAAAAATCTGCAAATGGGTTGAAAGCTTATATAAAATGTTTCTATCTACGTTAATTGTGATTTCTGACCCATAATCCAACAACTACATTACATTAGACATATTACATTACATCTGAAAGCAGATTGTACTTAACATTTCAGTTGTGACTGAATGTAGCTACTTTGAAGTATTGCATTTCCTAAGTTTTCCATTCAAATGTGCTGTTTCACAGTAAATTGTGAATAAAGGTAAAAGGAAGCAGTGGTATCTTAATTAAGGGTTATATTCTACATCTTCTCAATGCCTTGTTTCTTCAGACCATACAAAGTTTTAGAACACATTATATATCTAAAGAGTAAATATAGGGACTACAGTAGTGAAAATATTAGTAATTCTTAGGAAATGTCGATAAATAATATGCTTTAATTAATATCAGAAACTTTCCATTAAATTAAATTTTTAAGGCCCAAAACAATAGTTACCATGACAGCATTCTTCCCATTTTGCATATTACTGATTAAGATAACATATATATGTATTTAAGCACATTACATAAAAGCCATATAGACAGTAACTAAGAGATTGGTAAGGAGATGGTTTTGCTCCCTAATTATAATGAATAATATGTTCAATGCACTAATTACATGGTTTACTGTGTAAATTACTTTAATCATGCATGTAAAATAAAGGTAGGCTACTTAGATTATGATACTTTGTTACAGATGAGCCTTCATTACCCTACCTTCCCAAATTGAAAGACTTCACGAAGCTTAAGATTCTTGGAAAAGGAGGCAAGTATAACCTTCCATTAATACTCACCAAATTAGTTGTGCAATTCCTGCTTATAGAACATGGGCCTTAATTTCTGCACCCCTCTAGATTGATGGAAAAATTGTAATAGCAGCAGCAGTATCAGTAAAATAGCAGCAACAGCTGATCTGGAAGCAAGAAACATGCAGCTCAATCTCAGTTTAGGAAAATTTACTGGAGTTATAATTATGGAAATTAGCCACAAAAAATAAAAGATCTTAAACCTCAGTTACACCTGAAGATTGCTGTCTGGTGGATTTCCACCAACGTTTCAGAGGTCATACTGCCTCCGTCATCAGGGCGATGAATCATCAGCCTGTTGATGGAGACAGTGTGACCTCTGAAACGTTAATGGAAATCTACCAGACTACACGGTACAATAATCCAGAAGACAGCAATCTTCAGACTCACCATCGTGAAAACCTCAAATCCTACATCAGTTACACTTGTTTCAGTCATCTATAATTATGTACATTTGATAATAAATCATAGAATTCTTAAATTCAAAGCCAAATCTGGCTGAAATCATACATTAGAATTATCAGAGATCAGTTCACAATCAGTGGTTGAAGATGATTGGAAGCAACTCAGAATTTTTCTTATGACCAGACTTTGGAAATCAGAATTTATTTTCTAACATTGCTGATATTGTTCTTGAATGTCTTCTGGGAAAAGAAGATTGACAAATACAAACATTTACGAACAATTATGTCTATATCATGATGGAGTAGAGGGGGCATATGTAAAGATCTGTGGATTCTTAACTTTAGCATCAAATTGAAATAATGACATTATTTTATCATCATTGTATATATACAATTAAGGAATTCTCACCAATGCAATTCTTAAAGATGCACACTGACAAGAAGGAGACCAGCATTTTATCACTATCATGCCAGCAAATATTAACGTTTACTCTAATCCAGTGAAATATAGCCTAGCAGTGCAGGGTAACAAAAATAAGATTGAACCCATATCCATAGAAAATTTCTATGACCTGATTCTTGTTTTTGATGTAAATGACATTTAAGTTTTGCTCTGTGATAACACAAGGCCTATACTGAAATATCAGACCATTTCTATTGTTATATATGAGTAACAGATTTTAATTCATAACATTTTTAAGTTATCACCTTCAGACTTAAGAGTTTAAAATGGTACAGGTCTAGACAATACTTGGCTGAACAAAATTTGTTATTGAGGAATATTATTTTAACAGTGTCCATTGAAAGCCTGCTAAAATTTATTTGTGTTTCAACCAAGTTTCTAATTACAAATCATGGATAGAATGCATATGACTTGAACACAGACCCTCCAAAAGAAGATTCAGCAGCAACAAGAGTTGCAATTATGAAATATCAAAAAGTTAAATGGAATTTCTTCTTGTTTGTGTCACCCTGTGGGGTTATTCTTAGTAGCCACTTGAAATTATGTGGTCTAATCATATGGAACCACAATAACTATAACACTATTGGTAAGTGCTTTAGTGCCTCTTGAATAGTAACCCTTCAGTCAATAAATGTTTGATAGTACATAGAATTTTGATACAGAATTCTGAAGGCAGAGTCTACAAATGTCAGAGCTGATTGCCAAGCAGAGAGCAACATGAAACATAACTGTGAACTGTTACAGGCTTTGGAAAAGTTTTCCTTGTACGCAAGAATGGCGGTAGAGATAACGGTGCATTGTATGCCATGAAGATGATGGACATCACCAACAATACTTCTCGAAAAAAAATTCTTCAAATATGCAGTACAGAACACAATATACATCTAACAGTTGCTGACACTCCATTCCTTGTGGCCCTCTATTACACTTTCCAGACACTATCAAAGGTGTGCTTCATACTGGGTAAGTAGATCAAAAACTATTACTGATTCCAGGATGTTTGAAAAAAGAAGTAAACAGTATTATGACAGAAGGGGTCAGTCAGTGGTGTGAGAGAGGTCTGTTATAAGAAGAAAACCCATACACAATACTTTCATTACATGAAAAACATACAATATACTAATGAATATTTAGATGTATAGATCATTTAAGTGAGGTATTGGACTAAATAAAGCTATTAAATGGTATTGTTAAACATAAACTTAGCTGAAGATTTCTGTCTTCTGGGTTGTTGCGCCGTGTAGACCAGACTACACATTGCAACAACCCAGAAGACAGAAATCTTCATACTCACCGCTGCGAAAACTTCAAATCTTAAATAAGCTTAGCTCTCATGGCGACTAAGTATAATGAATTCTTCTCAGGCTACCAGCCATGTCAGGTGGTTTAATTAAAAAAATTTTTTTTTTCAAGAACCATCTTTATCATCGTCCTCAGCACCTTGGTGTTTTCTAAATTAAACCACCTGACACGGCTGGTAGCCAGAGAAGAATTCATTAGTATTATTCCTTTTGTAACATAACTGTCTTCCTATATGTTTAAATATCAAGAGGTATGGCTGAATCTTAGAATGCTTACAGGTATTTTGACTGACCATTTGGAATATCAATAGTAAAATCACTGTACAGAAAAGGAAACAAATCTTGTATGACTAATTACAGGCATATCTTACTGTTAACCTCCTCCTCTAAAGTATTATAGGCTGTTTGATTGTCAGTTGACAAATTCAGTTCTCTCATATGAGTAAATAGTTTAGAGTGAACAAAACTGATAACGTTTGTAACAAATATTCACCACAATCATCATTTAGTATTTGATTTTATGGATAATATGTAGATCAGTCAGAAAATTCAAAATTCTTCCACTTAAAGCGATAGAATAATATTGATCAAATAATTCAGAAGTTAAGTGGGGAATGTTATGCAATTAGATAAATGTTTCATTTTGTCAATATTAGCATACTGAAATCAATGCGATTGACATTCCTTTTCTCTATACTGAAGTATGGAATAATCTTTGTGGGTAATTGCTTCTCACAGGAAAATTACATTTTCTTAAAAAAGAAAATAATTAAAATTATGGCCGGTCCCAAACTAAGAAATTTGTATATTAGCCTATTTAAAAAACTTGAAATTGTCTTCCTTGTAAATATATATTCTAATTAAGAAACTGCATCGTAAATTACCTACATCTACCTCGGATAAATTTAACTATACACAGTGTTAACACACACTTTTCTGTTGATGAATTCTTACAGTGTAAAAATGATTCATAATCACTTTATTAAACTTCATTGTACTCATATAGCAGAAATTATCACAAACACTGCCTCATCTGCTGTGTACCAGTAAATTTAATACAACATCTTCATGTTAATCATATCTTTATTATTTGTGAAACCTAATTAATATTTTAAATTATATTAAACTGTATGTTTTGTATTTTGACTTATTCCACATCCTATAGTTAGTCTCACTCACTATTGAACCCATTGAAAGTATATATAAAATTCTGTCTGGGTAGAAAATTAACTCAACCTTCAAACCTAACCTAACCTGTGCAGGCACACAGCTGTTCTAATCCACAGCATAGAAACAGCAGCTGACATTCAGTCCTCTGTTAGTTTTCGAGTGTTGAATCTTATTCTTGTAACATTAGTATTTAACAGTTGATATGATATAGAATTTAATATGTTAGATAGGTCACTGGTAACACAACCATAGTACCAAATATGCATATTGCTCCAACAGTAAAAGTAAATTAAAGCATCCCACTACGTGCCTATGCAGGCACTTGGGGGGGAGGACGTATAGCTCCTACTCTTTCTTCTCCTCGGCACTAGATGTGGGTGAGTGGTCAGCATCACGCCGCAGCCGTACTTTACCGCTGGGAAAGGATTGCAGTACCCATTGAACAGGAGGATGGGTGGGGACGTAGAGGCAAGAGGAAAAATCCTCTTTTTGAAAAGTCAAAGTGTACTGCCTTGTATTGCAGATCATGTGTAGATTAATGCTGGTAAAACAAGTCATTTCATTTTCCATAAGAACCAGCATGTTAACTATTAACTGTTACTCGTAATTCAGGTATTCTATGTACAGACTGTATTAAAGATCTTGTCTTTCCTTACTCAAAACTTTACTTTCATCTGCATATTGATTACTTATTCTTTTGTACCATAATGCTGTTAGGCCTAATATGAGCTATAAATTTTTTCCATTTCTTTTTAGATAGCCTTATGATTCTTTATAACAGCCTAGTTAGATCAAAAATTGAATATGCTTCTGCTACTTGGAATTCTTTTACCACCACTGACTCCAGTAGACTTTAACATACCCAGAAAAAGTTTGCTAACTTAAGTCACAACAGGGATCGAACTCTGATCGCCCAGCCCGTAGCTAGTCACTATACTGACTGAGCTATCCCGGCTCATATTGCTCCAACAGTAGTAATATTTATTATAAGGAACAATGTTTCTAGAAAACCATTCAACATTATGTCACATGTTCAAGGTCGAATCAGTTCTCCATGTCGACAGTGTGTATGGAGCATGTGTGAAGGGGTGTGCGCATGAATGGCAAAGGCTCTGCCAACACAGGCGGATCTACTGCACTGACTATACATTGATTTAGATCATTTTGACCAACAAGTGTTGTGTGCTCTGGTGTTTATACTTTGTTCTACTGTTCATTTTTTGTATAAGGAGTCATGTTTACACAGCAGTAATAAGCATGTAGTTAAAGTCATAAGTTTATATAAGAGTAAAATATATTCTATCACCATTTTTAGAACTACCACATGAACCATAGTAAGAAGGATGGGTGTATTATTTACTTCACCTCTCAAACATTGGGAGCAAGGTCCTCCTTAGGCTGTGGATACTGTCTCACAAAGAAACGTACAACACAACTCTGTATACACATTCTGTTTCATTCTCGACTGGGAGAAGAATCCGTTGCCTGCTTCTAAACTCTATTTAAAATTCAGTCTGCTGTAGACTGTCACTATGCAGTAACAGTTGAATTGAATATATAACATGGTAGTTATCTTTACAATAAGAAGATTGCATTATTGTTCCAGAGTATTATCCAGGCGGTGACTTGGCCACCTACTTGAATGAGAGGAAGAAGCTTTCAGAATGGGAGGCACGGCTGTTCCTAGCCGAGATAGTCCTGGGTGTACAGCACCTTCATGAGGTAAGCACACTATTCGACTGTAGTTGTCTCAAACAATGTCATAAAAAGGGAGTATAAAACCAGTTGCATGAAAAGATGGTATAAAATCAATAATTGCTTACCTGATTAATAGTAAGGCAACAGAGTTATTTTATTTCATTCAGTACTGCATTTCTTTACTACATACAAATCACTTTTAATTTATATGGGAAACGTCTTTAGTGCCAACAATGAGTAATTACATATAACCCAAAATTTCAGCTTATTTCTTATGAATATGTTTTCAGTTACTGCAGCCTTTGACTTGTACTGTCATCTACAAATATAAAATCATGCATACAAACAAAACTGTTTACATTTTGAAAACCCAAACATGTTTCGACCTCAAGAGGTCAAACATGAGGTTGAAATACTTTTGCCACTAAGTGTCTTCTCAAAGCATAAACAGTTTTGTTTGTACGCATGATTTTATATATTTAGATAACACTGCACAGTATGCAAGGTTTTAAGATTAGGACTGTCATGTTTATTAGTTGACAACTATTTTATTCTATTACAATAAATGGTTGCCACAGACTTTCTATGGTATTGACTTTCAACATAAAAAAAATATAATTTAGCCCAGTTCAATAATGTTGGTAATGTATTTTTCTTTGTACATTCTCTTGACACTAACATGTAACTCAAGAACTTTTCATATGTGGTGTAAGGTAACATTCCCAAAACAGCTGTTTTTGCAATTCTGTTGTGTCTGCTCACTCCTCTGAACCATTTATATTAACTGTTTATGAGTGTTTACAATAGGGACATAGTGGTCTAAGAAGTCCCATGTGGGTCCTTGGTCCAAGACAAACCAGATGCAGTGAATATATCTGTATGTCTTCTTCTCCTGTCTTCAACAATGATAAAATTCAAATTTTATTTATTTTGGGAACATCAGGCTCCCCACTATGCTTTAAAACCCGAATTAAACTGAAAGCCACCTTTCCTGGCCAACATCAACAAGTCACTATCATCATGTTACTTGAATGAAGAATTATTACCTGATCTCAAAATAAACCTTGTCATATATCAAAGACGTCCAGGGTTTGAAACCAGAAAGTTTGGTATCACATTAGCCGCAGTTCTTTGTGACTGGGGGTCTCATATTTCTGCATCAGATTGAAAACGGTAGCTAAATGTTAGTGAATTTGAACAGTACCATTCATTGAATATAAGTAATAATTATTATGGGCTGTCTCAGAGAAACTTACTGGGTGAAATCACTTATTTTTTGTATCGAAGGCCACCTCCACTGACCCACTCAGTCAGATGGGCATCACTTCAAAATCCATAATTACTGTCCATGTAACAAAATATTCTAATCCTCTTATGCCTTCTCTTCAAAAGGTCAGTACTCATACAATATTAATAACTGGAAGAGTGCCTATAGGAAATTCAACAAATTCTTACATTTCTTGTCAATCATTAATGCCTGAAAGTTTACCATAGGCCTCATTATGAGATGCATATCAATGAATACAGAAATTTGTTATCATCTTCTCTAAACCAGATGTCCTTATCACAAATCAAACACAGGATAGTTTTTGTGGTTGTGTCGAATGCTCCTGTTATCTCGAAACAAACAACTTTGGTCTTGGTGACTTTCTTCTATCATCCTTAGTTCCAAAGACAGAAAAAGAATCCTCACTGGATTTTGTAAAAAGGACCCTTGTTTCAGAGATTCAATCTCCTCAAAAATGTCTTTCTCATTTCAAAATACAAATGTGCAAAATTTAGCGGAAATTCATATGACCATATTTAAGCAATAGTGAACACATATGTATGTACTTCCTTACACCATGGTGCTGAGTCCTTCCTGAGAAGCCAACATTTGCTCAGTCACTCAATAAATTCCCAACATTTTACAGAACCCGGAGGTTCATTTCCGTGTTCACAAGAGCCTGCCACTGGTCCCTATCCTGAGCTAGAAGAATGCAGTTCACAACACCCTAACCTATTTCTCTAAGATGCATTTTAATATTATCCTCCCACCTATGTCTAGGTCTTCCCACTGTGTATGCATTCATTTTGTCTCTCACGTAGGCGACATGCCCTGCCCATCTCTTCCTCTCTGTCTTGATCTGTCTAATTATATTTGGTTTTGAGTAAAACTTATGAAGCTCGTCGTTATGCATCTTTCTCCAGCCTCCTAGCACTTCATCTCTCTTGGGTCCAAATATTCTCCCCGCATTCTGCTGACATCTCTGTGTTTACTTCAGACCCACAACTTCACTCGCGCCAGTTACAGCTTCTGCAGTTTTCTTTTATGGTACTCACGTCATCCCCCAATAGACTTACATCATCAGCATAGACTAGAAGCTAATGTGTCCCATCCAATTTCAGTCCCACTTGGTTTCCTTGGACCTTCCTAATGGCGTATTCTAAAGCAATGTTGAAAATCGATGGCGATATAGTATCTCCTTGTTTTAGACTAGCGGATAGAACGCTGGCCTTGTAATCCTGGGGTCTCGGGTTCGATTCCCGGCGGTGCCCAAATTTATAACTTTTGTTGGGCAAGGCCGTGGTCTAGGCAACACGGAGTTTTCCTCCGGGGGCTTCCCCGGTTTCTCCGTGGCATCCCAACAATTACTCCATTCACACACAGAAGAAGGCAATGGCAAACCACTTATGGATCATCTGCCAAGAACGTATATGAACAGGTCCCAGTCCGAGAAAAGGATGGAAGGATCCTGTTCATATGGACCTGTCGTCAGACAGAACACTAAATAAATAATAAATGTTTAGAAAACATGTTATAAAGTTTTTACCTGTACAGACTTTACTATAGATTTTGTTTAAACACACTTTAATAATCATGACTAATTTCATGGGTGAATGAAACTTTATGAGAATATTGTACGATACTTCTCTCCTAACCGAAACATTCATTTCCTTGAAGTTGATGAGTAGCTGATATATTGGCTCATCGAACTTTGATTTTTTTATAGTATCTGGCGAATACAATAAATCTGATCAGTAGTTGACCTATTACGTTGAAACCCACAGTGAAGATCCCCAATAATTTCATCTGTGTATGGACTTACATTGAGAGAAGGATGTTGGATACAATTTTGTATGAAGTTGATAACAGTGACATGCCTCGATAATTACTACAGTCAGTTTTATGATCCTACTGTTACAAAAATAGACTCCTTCCACTGCTGATGCAACTCTTCCTTATTCCAAGCAGAATTAAGAAGTTAATGGTTCTCAGAATGTAATGTTTCACCTCCTACTTGAATGAATTCTGCCAGAATTTGAATACTACCTGGAAATGTATAACTTTTAAACTTTGTAACAGCAATTTCAACATCTAAAGGACTAGGATCAAGTATTAATGGCTCAGCTGTATGTATTTCCATCTGCCCAACATCACTAATCCTATGTATACTGAGAGAAGTAATTCTTCCATCTGTTCACAGTGTTTTGGGAATCTGCCAACAGATCACCATTCTCATCCTTTACCAAATTACATCTATATATTATATTATAATCATTTATACTTCTGTATAAGTCTCTAATATTCTTATTCTTATCACATTTTGCAAGCTCATTAATTTTGTCTTTCAGTTGTTCCATCTTTTTGTTCCTGAAAAGTCTGCTAGTTTCTTGCCATACTTTGTTCACATTATCTCCATTTATTTGGCTCTGATAATGTAACCACTGCAATTTGCATGTATTGTAAGTCCGTGTCATCACGGCGTGGCACGTCCTGAGGTTTTGAATGGAGAAGACGACCTCCAGGTAGCTGCGAATATATCGAATAAGCAGTAGCGGACAGTCGAGAAGGGGTGGTCTTCTAAAATATTACACAGGGCCTTGTACTGGGATGGATTATTTGGAACAAATATATATCCAATAGTTCACTTTTTTTATATTAGGATGGATGCCAGGTTAATCACTAGGCAAACAAAGCTCCTGTCTGGGGCAATAAAATTCTGGGTGGTAAAAAAGTGAATATAAAATAAAGATAGGTTTGAGATGAGAATATAACAAGCGTCTAAAACCAGAAAGGTAAAAACGTTCACTTTTTTTATATTAGGATGGATGCCAGGTTAATCACTAGGCAAACAAAGCTCCTGTCTGGGGCAATAAAATTCTGGGTGGTAAAAAAGTGAATATAAAATAAAGATAGGTTTGAGATGAGAATATAACAAGCGTCTAAAACCAGAAAGGTAAAAACTGAAGGAAAGAAGAAATGTGTGTTCATGTTCCCAGTCTTGTAGTATACCACAAACAATACTCGGTACTGTACACAAGTAACTGACATGTGTGCAGTGAAGATGACAGTGTGGCCATTTTGGCGATTTAAAGACAGACTGAAGACATTTAAATGGGGGAGGGAGCTATAAGGCTAAAGGTTCATCTAGGTTATAAAATACCCTTGCACCAGTCCTGTGCACTGAAGGGACAAAGCAGGGCCTTACTCAAGATCATAGTCACATTCTCAGAAGTTAAAATTAAGTAGACCTAGTAGTGATCTTCATCATCATACTTTCATTGACTAGGAGAATCGCCAGTTCTGGCCTATAATTTGTTACGTCTCCTTCCATCTCTTGTTCTCGGTCTTTTTATGTGTCATCTGCCAGATGGGCAGTAGTTATAATGCTTGTAATAGAATGTGAGTTTTGAAGCTTATCAGTAGCAAAGAGTTCACTCTGGCTGTGTTATGAACACCACACATACATAAATCAGTGGTGGGGCTGCCACCTCTCTGCTTTTGAGATTACAGAATGTTTGTTTGGGTCATCTTCCCCAGACATGCTTCATTGACCACTGTTGTCAAGTCATATCCACCTGATGTGGGTTACATTTAGCTTCCCCTCATCTCTTACCAGCTAGCTAGCTGTTCAATGACAATACTTCCCTAGCATGGCTGTTTGGTTCATCAGGTATTAGACCCTCCCGTGACAGATTGGTACCACAGGAGGGAGTCTAGTGGCATTTAATTTAATCATTAACAGTATGTATGAAATCTTAGAGCGACATGTAGCAAAAGATCGGAATACTGGATCTACATCTTGCTACCATAATAACAATGCAACGTGTTCCAAATTTTATCCCAACTATGTAAGCAATTTGTTGGTATTTTTATTTCAGATTCGAATAATCCACCGCGATCTGAAACCAGGAAATATCCTGATTGACTCTCTTGGTCACCTGGCTCTCGCAGATTATGGATTATGCAAACATTTCCCGAGTGATGCAAAGGTAAATTTAATATTCAACTTATTTTTTGCTGGGCTTACCTACAGGACACATAGGCTAGAAATGTAACAGCTATATGGACTGCTGTTTGTCAGGCAGTACTTTTTATTTGAGCTGAGTCAAGTCACAAGAACCATAAGATCTAGAGAGGTTTCACATAACCAAAATTGTTTTGTTACAGTATTTAAGAGAAAGTATAACTGAAAGATGTCAGAAGTTCTTTGAATTTTAAGAGGTGAACTCAGAACTACAAAACTGTAATACCAACAGCTCTATTGGAGTTTCATAAATAGCGACCGTGATGCAAAACATGAAATATAGCAGATACGTAAATCTGTGTCTTACTCTGATGATAAAAATGTTACAAATGTTTTTAAAAAAGGGCAATACCATAAAATAAATGGGATAAAGCAAGGAGCTAGATATAAGAAAAAATGTTGAATCATACATGGGGTAGTTTAGATATTAGATAATGATAAAATCTGTGGTTCTGACAGCAGCTAGTTTAAATATGATTAATGAGAAAATTTGTGGTTTATACAGCTCACCCACTATTGTTAGTGTGGTGAAATTAGAGAGATTAATTACAATCGGCTGGACATATAGGAAGAAATTAAATGCTACAGAATATTGGTGGGAAAACCTGCAAATAGCCAACTTGGAAAATTGTGATTGAGAGGGGAATATAGAATTAAGAGAGATCTTAGAGAAATAGGTTGTGACGACAGTAGGTGAATACTACAGGCTCACGACTGTGTCCAATGTTGGGTGGTCTTTGATACATATTATCAATGCTGAAATTATCATTTCTGTTACCTCAGTTACCACTGAGTTAATTTGTAGTTGCTTTGTGTCTGAAATTCCTGTCATAGTTATTTATAATCTTGTTTGGTAGCTGCGAATATATCGAATAAGCAGTAGCGGACAGTCGAGAAGGGGTGGTCTTCTAAAATATTACACAGGGCCTTGTACTGGGATGGATTATTTGGAACAAATATATATCCAATAGTTCACTTTTTTTATATTAGGATGGATGCCAGGTTAATCACTAGGCAAACAAAGCTCCTGTCTGGGGCAATAAAATTCTGGGTGGTAAAAAAGTGAATATAAAATAAAGATAGGTTTGAGATGAGAATATAACAAGCGTCTAAAACCAGAAAGGTAAAAACTGAAGGAAAGAAGAAATGTGTGTTCATGTTCCCAGTCTTGTAGTATACCACAAACAATACTCGGTACTGTACACAAGTAACTGACATGTGTGCAGTGAAGATGACAGTGTGGCCATTTTGGCGATTTAAAGACAGACTGAAGACATTTAAATGGGGGAGGGAGCTATAAGGCTAAAGGTTCATCTAGGTTATAAAATACCCTTGCACCAGTCCTGTGCACTGAAGGGACAAAGCAGGGCCTTACCCAAGATCATAGTCACATTCTCAGAAATTAAAATTAAGTAGACCTAGTAGTGATCTTCATCATCATACTTTCATTGACTAGGAAAATCGCCAGTTCTGGCCTATAATTTGTTACGTCTCCTTCCATCTCTTGTTCTCGGTCTTTTTATGTGTCATCTGCCAGATGGGCAGTAGTTATAATGCTTGTAATAGAATGTGAGTTTTGAAGCTTATCAGTAGCAAAGAGTTCACTCTGGCTGTGTTATGAACACCACACATACATAAATCAGTGGTGGGGCTGCCACCTCTCTGCTTTTGAGATTACAGAATGTTTGTTTGGGTCATCTTCCCCAGACATGCTGCATTGACCACTGTTGTCAAGTCATATCCACCTGATGTGGGTTACATTTAGCTTCCCCTCATCTCTTACCAGCTAGCTAGCTGTTCAATGACAATACTTCCCTAGCATGGCTGTTTGGTTCATCAGGTATTAGACCCTCCCGTGACAGATTGGTACCACAGGAGGGAGTCTAGTGGCATTTAATTTAATCATTAACAGTATGTATGAAATCTTAGAGCGACATGTAGCAAAAGATCGGAATACTGGATCTACATCTTGCTACCATAATAACAATGCAACGTGTTCCAAATTTTATCCCAACTATGTAAGCAATTTGTTGGTATTTTTATTTCAGATTCGAATAATCCACCGCGATCTGAAACCAGGAAATATCCTGATTGACTCTCTTGGTCACCTGGCTCTCGCAGATTATGGATTATGCAAACATTTCCCGAGTGATGCAAAGGTAAATTTAATATTCAACTTATTTTTTGCTGGGCTTACCTACAGGACACATAGGCTAGAAATGTAACAGCTATATGGACTGCTGTTTGTCAGGCAGTACTTTTTATTTGAGCTGAGTCAAGTCACAAGAACCATAAGATCTAGAGAGGTTTCACATAACCAAAATTGTTTTGTTACAGTATTTAAGAGAAAGTATAACTGAAAGATGTCAGAAGTTCTTTGAATTTTAAGAGGTGAACTCAGAACTACAAAACTGTAATACCAACAGCTCTATTGGAGTTTCATAAATAGCGACCGTGATGCAAAACATGAAATATAGCAGATACGTAAATCTGTGTCTTACTCTGATGATAAAAATGTTACAAATGTTTTTAAAAAAGGGCAATACCATAAAATAAATGGGATAAAGCAAGGAGCTAGATATAAGAAAAAATGTTGAATCATACATGGGGTAGTTTAGATATTAGATAATGATAAAATCTGTGGTTCTGACAGCAGCTAGTTTAAATATGATTAATGAGAAAATTTGTGGTTTATACAGCTCACCCACTATTGTTAGTGTGGTGAAATTAGAGAGATTAATTACAATCGGCTGGACATATAGGAAGAAATTAAATGCTACAGAATATTGGTGGGAAAACCTGCAAATAGCCAACTTGGAAAATTGTGATTGAGAGGGGAATATAGAATTAAGAGAGATCTTAGAGAAATAGGTTGTGACGACAGTAGGTGAATACTACAGGCTCACGACTGTGTCCAATGTTGGGTGGTCTTTGATACATATTATCAATGCTGAAATTATCATTTCTGTTACCTCAGTTACCACTGAGTTAATTTGTAGTTGCTTTGTGTCTGAAATTCCTGTCATAGTTATTTATAATCTTGTTTCCATCAGCAGGACAAACTTGCTTATTCAATGTGTTGCACAGAGGTGTATATGGCTCCAGAGATGATCCGACACAACGGCTATGGCAAGGTAATTATCTTATACTTTGACAATGTGAAAATGATTATTTCATCGTTTTATGGAACTCAAACAGCAGTATGTAAACTAATGTGCATGAACTAGTCAGAATACATGACAGGAGACAGAACCATTAAATTGAATTTAGTTGAGTAACCTGCCTGCCATCTGGCACAATGGCTCACACATTTGTCAGAAAATAGAATTAAGGGGTAAGTACTAGAGATATGAAATTGGCGCTGAATGTTATTTAGTTTTGTCCCTTATATGTCCCAAATGAGAAAGTACCTTTCATTGTCTGATTTTCCAGCATTATTTCTGAGGGGGGAGGGATACATTATAGTAGCCATCACCAAATTGTATGCTTGAAGGCCATGGAAGTACTTCATCCAGTTACCATATGGTTGCAAGTCACAATCACAAGCATTTCTGGCTGGCTACACTGTGTTCTGATCAGTCTTCACCAGCCTGGGATCCCCTTTTCGTGTTGCGACATTGAACAATTTTGCTGACTTTGAAGTATATAGTTTGATGATAGCTACTATAATGAATGAGATACAGATCGAGGTTAAAAACTGGATGTACACGTTAAGTGTACACCACTTTACCGTAACACTACTCATGAACTAAAAGGAACAGTAATGAAAACTAAATGCATTTGAGTAGGTTATTTGATCATGTTCTAGATCCTATAACCCATCTAAATATATTTAAAGTAAAGTAAAGCTGTCCCACTATGCGCCATGTAGGCGCTTGGGGGGGGGGGGAGAAGGTATAGCTCTACTCATTCTTGACCTCGGCACTAGATGTCACCCCCTGGCAGCGCTTTACCCCCAGGAAAGGACCCAGTACCCATTGGATAGGAAGCTGGGTGGCCCCAGAGCCGGTCTGGACGCAAAGTCTAGAGAAAAAATTCTCTGCTTCCGGTCGTCCAGCCTGTAGCCAGTCACTAATACTGATTGAGCTATGTTGGTTCATCAGCTAAATATGTTTAATTTTTAATACCTATGACTTTCAGTTCATGCACATTATTACAATAAAATGGGAAAATTTTGTGTGCAGATTCTTTTTACAAACAGTTTTTGAAATAAAATAAGAAATGTTTACAATAAGTTGTTGCAATAAACTCTGATGAACTCACAACAGTTCAAATGGTATGAAACATGAATAGAACAATCTTCAGCACTTTTCCAACTAAAACTTGCAATAAAGCCCTTATTAGCTTCACCATGTCTGTAAGTCCACACGTAATACCTTGAAAATTGCTGTATGTATTTTTATGGCATTTGTTAAAGCTGTTTCAAATACTGATGTCATTTAATATTAAGTGATAATATGACTCTGTAATGTGGTCTAGGTAAACACGGAGTTTTCCTCCGGGGGCTTCCCCGGTTTCTCCGTGGCATCCCAACAATTACTCCATTCACACACAGAAGAAGGCAATGGCAAACCACTTATGGATCATCTGCCAAGAACGTATATGAACAGGTCCCAGTCCGAGAAAAGGATGGAAGGATCCTGTTCATATGGACCTGTCGTCAGACAGAACACTAAATAAATAATAAAAAAAAGTCAATTATAAATGACTGTTAATAAAGTGACTTTTAAGGTTCTGACCGAGCACTCGCAAGGAAAACTGTAAAAAATACAACAGAGTCTCTCAGTGGCTAGGACAAAAACTGACAATTACATAATATAGACAAACAGAGAAAGAGTACTTTTCATACATAGAAACATTGCACATAAACCTGGAGACAAAAACTGGACACCACATTTCATACCCACAAACTTTCGGTACCTGGAGACATGAATTTATATAAGATTGTGAAGAAATTGAAATGACTGATTGCAGCTATTTCCCCTAATTTGATATGTTGCAGGAAGTGGACTGGTGGAGTGTTGGTGTAATTGCATATGAAATGTTGGCTGGGTTCAGGCCATTTGTAATTATGAAAGAAGAAGTCATGACAAAACTCTATCTGTAAGTACTTAGATTTTGTTAATAGATCCAATATATATGTTCCATGTGAACACAATTTTCCTTTGAACGAAGTCATATCCAAATTAGTTTGTGGCTAACACATGACTGTTCTTTTTAATGTCAGTAAAATAGGTGCACGCATTTGAAACATGTGGAGAATTAACCTTAAGGAAAGAAACAAAATGCAAGTACAGTCATTATGAAAGCAATTAAATATGACGGTCGGTGAAGGAACGGATTCCAAAAGTCTTATTTTTCTTATCTCCTGCATGATCTGTCCCAAAGAGATCTCCATGAAAATTAGACACTGACCACGCAGTTTATTGTAACACTGATATGCAAAATTAACATTTAATTATCAGAGCATGTTTAAGAAGTAAGTTTTCAATGGTAAATTCAACAGTGGATCTGTCTTTAACAGTAAAATTCTATACGACAAGCCAGATATCCCATCATGGTTCTCAATATATGTGGCAGAACTTGTCCAGGAACTGCTGAAGAAGGATCCCAAAGTACGACTGGGTGAAGGTGAAGACGGTGCACAAAATATCAAGCAACATTCATTTTTTAATGTGAGTTCTTTCCTCTATCTGTTACCACACCCCCTTCTCCATGTAATATACAGAGGCAATCAACCACAGAGGAACATCCACACAGTTTGAGGCTTCTGACACTGTTTATGGATGATTTCATTCTTTTAAAATTTTAGAAAGTGAAAAGTGTAATTACATCGCAAGAAGAATAACCCATGTGTAACAAATGTCACAGGCCTAAATTGTCAGTGCACAGATAGTAGGAACACAGTAATAGGTTCAGGAAGACAATACATATTGTACTCTCAGGTCAGATTTTCAGGACTCTTAACAATACATGCCACAAAATTGCCACTAACTTCCTTTAGAATTGGAAAATATGATTAATTATCCTCAAACATTCAGACCAGCAAATGCTGTATTGTTCAATAAGTTCAGACCAAAATTCAGAGCCAAGCAGAAGACTGCATTTCAAACTCCTTGTACTTTCCACACAATTTAAGTGTCTTATAAAATGAGATGTTCCCATTTCCATCTTGTCACAGCTTACTCTGCAATCCGCATTCTGGTTCATGCTACTAACGTTTGTTCTTCATCCTACAGGGTATAGTCTGGCAAGATGTGGAAAGGAAAGCAATAAAGATGCCGTACCGTCCACCTTTTGATATTAAAAATGACGCCAAACGTGTTCATAACAATTTGAGCAAGGAACTTCATACTCATTCAAATTGTAATGACCACATAACCCAGGTCAGTAAAAATACACTATCTGACATTTTGGTACATTGTGCACACCAAAAAGGTTTATTTATGGTGCTTCTGTTACCTGCAGAACAGCTGTTTGATGTATAAGGCTATATTGCCTTGAAGGCGTTAAAGTAATTGAGAATGTTTTGGGCACTTTAACTAATATGATTCATGCAATTAGATTAATATTCACACTGCTGTAATCATGAAGATGTCTATGGGCATAAACAGTAGTTATTGAAGAAATAATGGGTAAACAGCAGACAAAATAAGAATAATGTGAGGGATTTCAACCCCTGATAATTTATCTTATGACGAAAGAATCAGTCCACTCTTATCCTGGAAGTTTCTTAAAGTAACGTCATTTGAAATAATGGAATTGCTTTTTTATTATGGAAGTCCTGAGAACATTCTTCATTAACCAAAAAATGTTACTGAAAAGTGTCCTCATTCTGTTTTCAAATAATGAAAATTTGTGGAAATGTTATAATAAAAATAATCTAAACATCTAGGACAAATATGAGAATGAGTTGTATTCATCAAAGAAAAGGAAAGAGTTTTCATGACATGGGTTTTGAAACATTTCTTTTCTCAGTTATAGTATTCTTTTCATATTAAGTTTGAGTGGATATTTCATAGCAATTGCTCATATGCCCTCCACGACTTCCTGAATGTCTGTATAGACTGTACAATACAGCAAAAGAGGGAGGAAATTGTAGAACATGTACATCCATACACATATGATGTAAACATGTATATACATGCTTGTTTACTACATTCCACAGATCCATAAGTTAGTCAGAAGACAATAGTTTGTGGAATAATTCATAATGATACAATGTGTATACAAAATGCACACATCATATAATGTGGTACATGCCAGACTCAATTAACTAACTACTTAGATGGCTTACCGAACCCGAAGGTTCATCACCGAATTAACCCAAGCCCTCCACCGAACCCTGTCATGGGCTAACAAAATCCAGTCTCCTTCAACTCCTATCTCCCATAGATCCCACCTGATATTATCCTCCCATCTACGTCTATGTCTCCCCAGCGGTCTCTTCCCCTCAGGTTTCCCAACCAATACCGGGTGCACACCTCTTGTCCCATCCATGCGCGCTACATGCCCATCCCATCTCATTCTTCTCGACTTAATCACCATGACATTATTGAGGGAGGAGTGAAAATTTTAAGCTCATCATTATGCAGTTTTCTCCATGTCCCATCGTCTTCTCTCCTATGCCCAAATATCCTCCTCAACACCTGCAATCTGTGTTCCTCCCTCTGAGTGAGAGACCATGTTTCGCACCCATACAAAACAACAGGCAATATTATTGTTTTGTATACTTTCATTTTCAGGTTCTTAGATATCAGACGGGAAGACAAAATATTTTTAACTGAGAAGTAGCAAGCATTTCTGGAATTTAGTCTCCTCCTAACTGCCTCATGAGTGTCATTTTCATTTGTTATTGTTGTTCCCAAATATTTTAACTTTGTAACACTTTAAAAGATATTATTAGCCACTTTAATATTCATACGCCTAGTCACTACAGGCCAAACCCAGGACACTTATTCCTCCGCAATGATTACTGTCATTTTCCTCATTGTTTAAGACAGACTACATCATTGCTGTTTTCCAATCTTCAGGCATCTAGTGTGACATCTGGCACACAATTCAAATATGTGTGAAAGTATATTATTTTATTGTAACTGACATCTTCAGATTTGCAAAGTCATTATTTATTATCCATCACCTGGCTTCCATCTTTGTGGGGTGTGTGGATTCATCTGGCTCAGGTTGGGGGCCAATGGCTGACTTGTTAACATAATGAAGAACCTTCAGTTTTCATATAAGCAAGGCTTAATTAGCTGAGCAACTATTAGCTTCTCAGAAAGGAGTCTGTTGCATGAAGCCAATTTTGTACAGGACTACTTAGAAGGCGGCGAAAACCCACAACCGGGTTGTAGAGCCGAGAAACAACAACAACTTAGAAACAAGATAAATGTTTAAAGTACAATCAACTTAAGTGACAATATTCATTGATGACACATGAACCAAATAAATATTTCAGAAATGTTCACAGTGTTGTGCCAACTTAAATACAGATGACAGAAATTACATTTAAAAAATTCATCTAAAGGCACAGACTGTAACACTAGACCATGCACAGTTAACTGCAAAATTTTAATATGTAGTACATTTAAATTAATTTCTTAAATATCATTGTGAATATACTAAAGCAGTATGCCTCAAAGTATTTATAAGTGTACAAGTCAGTCACAGAGACGGAGGATGTCCTAGAAACAGTGAATAACAGGCCAGAAACCTAACATCAAGTTGTTGTTGCATAAAATATTGACTCCGTGGAGCAGATTATATTCAACAAGCTGACAGTGTACTCAGCTAGTTAAACGATTGGCAATGTGAATCTTCTCTCAACTAGGGTTGTTGGAATCCTGCCAGATTTCCAGCTAAACTCCATATCTGGAGGCCTCCTCCTCCCACTTCCAGAGGAAGCGCCATGCAGTGGCAACTCGGTCAGGATCACTGATTGACTTTTACCTTCAGACACTAATACAATAAAGAAATATTTTTAATTTTTATGGGTGTAGTCTAAGTTCTACCGCGAAGATATGTTTTATCACTATGTTCCAACAAAACATATTTTTGTATCTTATAAACTTCAAATGAAATAAGTTCCTCTATGACTGAATTTACTTACAAGTGACTTTGCATTTGTGTTACAGGCATGCTTATATGTAGCCCCATCCCTGATCCCTAACCAGAGACATAGACCAGAAACTTCAAGGAAGTGCCTGAACAAAGTAAGTAATAATATTCTGTTTGTGTTAATTTTGTCTTTCAAATATATATATATATTACAAATTACAAAATTAACAGGCACTGCTTTTATTTTTGTCTCCTGCAGTAAAAGATTATATTATCCAATCTTGAAACATATATGAGAATTTAAACTAATTATTTAATAAAAATTTTATATATTTCTGTCATTTTCGACTTTTACATGTTATACCAAAAAATTATTATGAAACATTTTAATTGCAGGTATTTTATCACTTGATTGTCACAATAATATACAGGAATAATAACAATTATGTGACTTTGTAAATGCTAGATTAACAGGTTAAGACTATAGGCACATCTCAGATATATTTGTCTACCTTAAACTTATTTCTACAACATAATTATGTCCTGGAAAGGGTGTGTGGGGGACCAAATTTGTACCCAGGGCAGCCAATGTGGAATTTTTGGTGGACAGTTTGACCCACTATCAAAGTTTTTGTGTACCTTAGGCCGTGCAGCTTCCGTGATGGGCTACATAGTACACATTTATGTTTATACAGTAGATAATCAAACAAATATGGGGACATTAGGTATAAGAGTCCCATCTAAGGGGAAATTATTGTGAAATATGCCATGTGCTAAAGTATTGGTGTCTCTCGAGGAATGACCAACAAATGTCGATTGAGACTAGTCTGTCTACATCTGATTACATTGCCTACTCGGAGGGTGAGAGTAGAGAGAAATGATGAAAAAGAAGGAAGTTGTCTCATATGCTGTGCGATGTATAAAAACGTAACAAGATAAAATGTGTTTACATGACAGTGTTATGTGGAATGTTATACTTATTGGTGTTGCAAGTTCCTGTTATTGATGAGGCTAAATAATGAAAATGCAGACATAGTTTATGCCTCTGTGAACTGTAGTGGGTAGGCAGGCAACTGAGAACATACCCAAGCTTCCTTCTTTTATCATCAGTAAACACAATTGGGTGAGCTGTAATTATTCTTGTGAGAGGGTGACAATGTCTCTGTGGAACTGCAGCCACTTACAGAGATGTTTTCCATCCTACAGATTATACATGAGTAATTATGGAGCAATGGTAGAATCACGACAGTGAAAAATCATAGGATAGTAAGAAAAAACTCTACCATTACCACTTTATCCATCACAAATTCCAAATGTCTGGTAGAAGATTACTGGCGTTTCAGAGGTCCTTGCAGTCTCCATCATCAGAACAATGGAGGCAGCAAGGACCTTTGAAACGTTGGTAAAACTAATGCCAGACCTGGCTGAATAAGTCCATGGTTCCCCATTCATGACGAACGTATTCTAAAAGCTTAATGGTCAGTAGCTAATAAGGTACATTATTTTCAGAATGATCTTCAGACTCAGCAATTTCATGACATCAGTGGCAACATATATCCCGGCTGTAACCAACTTCATAACAAGAATTATAGGATTTGAGGTTTTCACAGCGGTGAGTCTGAAGATAGCTGTCTTCTGCATTGTTATAACATAGTCTGGCATTAGTTTTACCAACGTTTCAGAGGTCCTTGCTGCCTCCATTGTTCTGATGATGGAGACTGCAAGGACCTCTGAAACGCAAGTAAACTTCTACCAGACAACACGGTGTAACAACCCACAAGACAGCCATCTTCAGGCATTATACTCACTGACGCAGAGACAACAGAGATTAACATCCCAACAACCAAAAACATCAGCGACAGGCAAAACCCTTGACTTGAAGTGGAGAGGTGAGAATTGGAAATCAGTTGGGGTACCATCTGCTGTGAACCCTAAAAAATACGAGTTCTGTAAAGATTTGTAAATTTGAATAAAATAATAGTTTGCATATGATACAGAGACATCATTAACAGGCTGTTGCACTTTACTGTATTTTGATCCTATCATTCAAATATTCTCCTAAATTCTTATAGACAAAGTGGGTAGGGAACTGGCTGCAGTAAAACCGACTCTCTTAACCAGCAATCATTAAATCACAAGGATGCTGTTTGATCCAATTTGCAGTGAGCTGGCTCTGTGCGACTGTGCTGTTCCTAATGTTTTGCTTGCAACATGTGAATTTTCCAAAAATCAAATAAAAGTGCTTTTTAAACAACAAAATCTCGTATTATGAGGAAGCTGTAACATGTAATGATTTTGATGCTGGTGGATTTTAATCTCATATGAACCTTTAACAAGTATCATTTCTGATAACAACAAAGTTAATACATATTAATCAGGTTTAATGACAGCTATATTAGAGCCATATAAACCCAATAGAATCACAAGCATAATCCAAATATTTTATTACATACAATTTTTAATACTTTGGCCTCTAAACATAAATTTTTATAAATGTCATGCAGTTAAATTTGCAAGGTTTTATTATTATTATTCCATCTATTCACCACTTATAGGGTATTTACCAGTTCCCCTGGGAGTGAACACAACGATCCCAGCGCCGCTGCCAAGCCTGGAAGCATCCCTGGAAATCTTTCTTTGTCAGCCTGTCAAGCACCATCTGCGATTCTGCCTGAATCTCTTCTATCGTCTCAAATCTCCTTCCCTTTAGCTGAATTTTCATCTTTGGGAAGAGGAAGAAGTCACACGGCGAATAAGGAGGGTGCGGGATGACGGCCATGGTGTTTGAGGCCAAAAACTGCCGAACTTTGAGGGCGGTGTGCGCTGGCGCGTTGTCTTGATGCGTCGCATGTGGAGTTCTTCCTTTAGAATCAGCTGACAGGTCCCAACAATGTCGCACAAGTCGTTGATGGTACGACGTCGATCTTCGTAACATTTTCGGGCGTTGTGCTCGAAGATGGTCGTCCAGAACTCTCGTCATCATCGACAGAGGTTCGGTCATTTTTAAAACGTGAATGCCACACCAAAGTTTGCGGACTCCCCAAATGCTTGCTTTAGCATTTCATAGGTTTCCGTAGCCGTTTTGGCGAGTCTTTGGCAAAATTTGATGCACACGCCATTCCGAAATCGCAGGAGGGTCGGTGTAATGCACTACCAAAACGCCCGTAACTAAGAAACAAATGCTAATTCGATGATGCCGGCTGGCACACTATGAATGTAGGCAGCACCCCCTAGCGGCAGAAGCTCGTACTACATCCGGTTCGCCCTCTATTGACACAGTTTTGAAACTTTCTGATCGCACCTCATATGTAGCCGAGACAAACCTTGCCCCTGAGGTAAACAAGTAGCAGCTATTTCCGAAATACATTTTGTTTTTAATATGCGTTACATATATTATATAGTTTTATTGTGAGAGATGACTTTTACGACAGAGTCTTTCGAATGACGTACGAAGATCATAAAATGGCAGTTTTCTGCAGTTCCGTGATGTTGTGTTCGCCCTGAATATTGGCCAAATATTTTCTGAGCGACTTTGAGACAGTTCCAGTTGCTCCTAAATTATTGGGATTACTTTTGCTTTAACTTTCACATTCTCTGTATTTCAATGAGAAGGTCCTTGTATTTCAAGATCTTCTCTGTCACTTGGTATTGCTATATCAATTACAAGGCAAGTTCCGTTTTTGTTTCGGATTATAATATCTGGTTTGTTATTTGGAATGGTTCTAACTTGTTGGTTCAACAAAATAATTATTTGGTTAATCTGACTTGACTCAGCTTTCTTCTGGATGTGTTCATACGAATGCATGTCTTAACTGTTCCTGAAGTTCAGTCTCTGATTTACATATCAGTTTTAAGTCGTCCATGTAGATCAGGTGTGAGACTTTTATTTTAGTTTCATGTTCTTAATATTTTCATTCATTCGGTTGAGCTCTGCTGTAAGAGGGATTAAACTAATACAAAATGTATTTTTTTTTTTTTTTTTTTGTAATTCAATATTTTTTTCTGATAAGGTATATTATTCCGAGGGTCAACCAGTCCAGAACCTGATCTTGATCAATCAGTTCGTTGAAAACTTTTGCTAAATGTTAAATGTGTCCCAGTGAGGTTCTTCAGCCCAAAATTTGCTACCTGGTCTGCTCCTGGGGCCTTCCAATTCAGAGTTTGTTTCAGAACTGCTGTTACCTCCTGCTCTGTTATTGGTTCCCATTCCATTCTCTGGTTTTTGCAAACTTGATTTCTTATCCACGTGGCTTCTTCGTTGTGTTTGACATTTGTTTCATATATTGGTTTCCAAAAATTTTCAATTTGTCTAATGTTTGGAGTGGATTCCATACTTATCTTCTTCTGTCTTAAAGATCTGTAGAATTTCTTGCAGTCCGTTGTAAATAGTTTGTTTTGTTGATATTGGGTTTGTCTTCTCTTGTATCTTCTAATACGTTGTGACTTTGCTGACACTTTTTGTTTAAGCTCTTCAATTATTTGGTCCAGGTTTCCTTCGTTTTCTATTTTATATTTCTGGAGCAGGCATTTCTTTTTAATATTCTGATTTTCCATTTTCTCTCTCTTAATTTCCGTCAGAGCTGATAAATTTTCATAATGACATCAATAGTTGTTTGTATTCTCCTCATCTAGGTTGGTATTGACTGAAGTTGTTTTTCTGGCTTGCACTTTTTAGTCCATTTAAAACTTCTGTTATTACTTTTTCTGTTTCATAAATGAGATGATTCAGTTCAGTTTCTGTTTCTCCTAATATTTCTTTGAGAATTGCAATTGCATTCTTAATGCTTTCTTTTATTTTGAACATGTTTTGGGGATTCCCCAGTCTTGGTCTTTTTCTAATTTCTACCTGAGAGACCTGATGCCACACAATTTCAATTTCGTTTTTCAGTTTCTCCTTTGACTGTGTTTTTTGTGGAGAAGCCATTTCATCTTGGGGTGCTAGGTCTAGGTCTTCTTGGGCCTGTTCAGGAAGTATATCTGATTGACCTTCACTGTTTCTGTTTAAATAACCTTCCTGAATCAATTTCATCTTCAGCTTCATTTCTTCCAATTCCAGATCTGTTACTTTTTTGTTTAAGTTTCTTAGCATCCATATTCATTCTAGTGTTTGGATTTCCTTTCCTCCACAGCTCGTACACACTCCTGTAGTCATCTGAAGAGAATGTTTTACAATACATGTGACACCAAACTACTTCCTTCATTTCTTCTCTTGTCCAAGCCACTCTTATTTTTCTTGATTGATTTTCTTGTGAGCCTTGAGCTTGTTGGCTGTGCATGTCCATGGTTGGCCTGCGTTGAGTTGCCTCGTTGCCTTAACCCACCTCAGCCCTTGGAGTACCTAGGCGACCTGTACTCCAGATCTTTGTCTTTCCATTCTTCGGTAGTAGCTGCTGATCATTTATATTTTTTGGTTTAAAATGATTTTGTTTCTCTTCCATCGTTGTCCCACGAGTAGCTAGGGATTCAATAGACTATTATTATTATTATTTTTACATCTGTCTGTCTCACTGTCAGTCACCATCTGGGAATTACAGAACCACTGGACGTTCCCCAACGGATAAAGGAAATCCAGGGGTCTGCACTATGAGGGCCTTCCCCCACTAGAGGCTTCCACCCTACAACATTCCCCCAGAACACATCTTCCTCTCTTGACCTGTGCCCCATTTAACTTGCCCCGGAAATATGAGGATTCCCCCAGAAGGCCAGCCACTCAAGGAAGCAGGGCATATCTGGGGACTACCCTCAGTAGGGACACCGCCAGGTAATTCCCCAGGAAATTAACAATGGTCGAAGAATAGAGCCCTAAGGAACAACAGGGAGTACAATGGAAGACGACAAAAATTGCTATAAAACAAACGCAGCACTGCCTGTTACTTTGGTAGCTAGCTGCGGAACCAATTTACACAACCAGTGGACTAACCATAATTGCCAAGATTGTCTAAAAGCAAGACATCCAAAACCAAATCAAAAACACCACTTCATTCAAAACAGAATATAACATATTGAGAACACACAACTGTCAAGGTATGCCACCAAAATAACAACAGTAACAACAACAGGATATTTTCACAGCATTATTAAACGTAAAAATGATTTTTTTGTGTTTGTTGTGAGCTGGCTCAGGATTGTTTCCTGTGCCAGGCGTTGTTAAAGCAGTGTTCAGTCTTCAGGCCGAACACCTGATAATAGTGTGACGAGTCGCCGTGGGTGCCGCGGACTCGCGCTCGAGGGGAGAGACCGCCTGACTTCCAGGCTTCCTGGTCTGGATCTTTCGACAGTTAGGAGGAGATTATAAGCACGGTCGCCTGCCTGGGTGCGACCGAGTTGTGAAGTAGCCCTTTATTGTCAACCCTGATTGCTGCCTCCATCATCAGGGTTGACAATAAAGGACGTAACTACCAACTTACGTCACAGAAGTTTTATTATGTTTTCCTCCATTCTGCTGATGCACCTTTGAAACCATAGGTTATGATACAAATTAATTTTTTTGTCAGTATTAGTGGTTTAAAATATCTCACATTTATGGAAATGTGCACGACTGATATTTCATCGCTTTTTGCAACATAGATGCAAAGTGATATATGTAAGTGATTCATCCTGAATACTGTAATGGATTGTTAATGCTGAAAATTTCAATGTAGAGCCCTTGTTTGCAGGCCAGTAGCCGTTAACTTGTACAAAAATTTCCTGCCTTGTACGAGGTCCGATCGGAAAGTTTCAAGACTGCGCGTATAAAAACCCGTACACTTATCTCAGGTATTAAATTCATCCATCACCCTCGAAGTAGTTCTACTGGGAGTGAACACAACGATCCCAGCGCCGCTGCCAAGCCTGGAAGCATCCCTGGAAATCTTTCTTTGTCAGCCTGTCAAGCACCATCTGAGATTCTGCCTGAATCTCTTGCCAAAGACTCGCCAAAACGGCTACGGAAACCTATGAAATGCTAAAGCAAGCATTTGGGGAGTCCGCAATGGGTCGTGCACAAACTTTTGTGGGGCATTCACGTTTTAAAAATGGCCGAACCTCTGTC